GCAGTTTGTTTTTCTGAGAGAAGAAAGAGTTTGGAGTGGGCTCCAAAAGCTCCGTGTCGCGGCCTTCAACCAGTTCCATTTCTGCATGTGATTTATCTCTGAAAATATAACTTATATTATTAGAATAAACTCCTTAACTAGTCATCTATTTTTGCGTTGCCAAAATTGCTTTTATTTTTAAATAATAAAAGTAAGTTTACAGCAAACGACGTTTGGCAAACATCTCAAACTTTTTTGCTTTGATTAACTTTTCCTATTCTACAAAAGTCCTGCCTCATGAAAAGCAGACGATTACATTTTAAAAATGCGCTAAGCTATAAGCTAACAATAATATTTAAAATTAAAAAAATAATAATAAGTTTAGTAATCTTACACGAAGTTTGAATACGTAAACAATTATACCAAATCCTGTTCAAATTTCATAAACGAAATTCAAACATCAGAGGGATTAGGATAGAATTAACTAATGGTTCTTCAGCATTGCCAAAGTTGTTTAGGTCTTTCATCAATAAGAATAATCTTAAAGCAAGCGATTTTCAAAAAACATATCAAAACTTAGCTGTATTTAACTTTCTTAAATTATGCGACAAGGAGAAAAGAAAGGTAAAGGATTAAATTTTAATAATGTATAAAGATATAAGCTAACGATAAAATGACGAATTAAAAAATATATATGAGTAATAATAATCTGAAGTTTGAATATGAGAACAATTTCACCGAATCATGTAAAAGTTTTATAACCGAACATCAAAGGGGTGTGGACAGAGACAAAAATATTAATCCTGATTTTAATCATTTTTGTTTAATATTCACAATGATAATCGGGTGAGTTTCCTGACTTGGAGTTTTTGAAGCTCACTTCAAGATGTTCAAACGAGAATAACCAAAAAAATTTAATTGGTTTTAATTTTAAGAAAAAATGGAGATATTGAATCCTTCTCTTTTTCTTATTGCCAAACGATTTTGTGTTGAATTAAAATGTTTTGAAAACAAACTTTTCGTTTTAATGCAAAATATTTACCAACGCTGCACAGGCCGTATTTTTTACTATAACTTCATCAAAATTGAAATTCAGATGAAATATACATTTAGAGATCTAGAATCAGTTGGTGCAGTTTAGGTAGAGTGATTAAACTAGATCCAGTAAAAATGTTCACTAAAATATTAAAAATCGCGAAATGTATTTTATTATTCTTGAAGATTTTAACTTTTCTTGTTGCAGTTTATTTTTATCTGATATAATTATTCAAAATATTGATAAAATAATTATTATTTAATAAAGATTAATAACATCAAGTGTAAACTCTGAACTGCATAAGAAGGGGGGAAATGAGCGCCTCATCCGACTTCGGATCGATGACGTATCGTCTATAGTATCCGACAATATTATTTGAAGTATGCCGAAAACAAGTTCCTCGCCAAATTAGAATGGAAAGATATACCGGAAGCTACCTTAGAATTACGAATTTTTTGCTCAGCAATACACCTATAAGATTAGACAAAACAGAGAAGACAATTGAGTTTATTAACCTCAATATTTTTAACCTCAATACTTTGAACTTAAAAGTTTTGAAAAAAACTCCGAAGAAAATCTAAAAACTATTAAGTGCCATTTCTCCAAAACTAATAAAGCGGAGCTTTCATTCTCTACCTTTTTTAAATTGTATGATGCTGTTAAATAATATTTTTAATTCTTTTAGACAAAACAACATTGAATCAGCGTAAATCAAAGATTTAACTTATCTTATTATCACGTCATATGCAAAAAACGGGGTTATTACATTGCGTTTTCCAGTTTATAGAGAATTTAATGCACATTTGCCTTTTCCGTATTAAAGATTAAAATAAAATTGCTTATCATATTCTGAAATTTGTTTCTAATAAAATTAATTCCGTATGTCATAGGGCAGGGATGGCGAACCAATAACACGCGACGCGATATTTTGGGCACGCCACCGATCGCAATTGTTATTGCACTATGAATTGTTATTATACAAATGTTATTAAACTATGAAGCATATATAACAATTAAATTAAAATTCACAAAAAACAAACAAAATAATAAACAATTATTAATAAAATAATTAACAATTAATGCTAAAAAAGCAATTAATAACCATAAAGAGCAAGCTAACAATAAATAACTGGCAAAAAATCAACAGTCCTGCATAAACTAATATCTTACAACCTAATATAAGTTATTTGCCATTTAATCTGCATTAACAGAAGTCCCACTGATGTTACTCTAAGTTGAATTACGCGAATAACTGAGACATTGCAAAATGTATTTTATTTTCAATGTAAATAAAGAGTTTTGAGTTGATAGTATTTAGTATTATTATATTCCCAATAACCATGAAGTAAAAATTATTTGACGCTACGTCTGTGATTTCATTAAACAATTTTTTAGAAAAAATGGCACATTGGTGTATAGAGGTTCGCCTCCCCTGTCATAGGGAATACGTCATTCCGGTTGTTAAATAACTGATTATATTAGATTAATCTACTGATTATTATTATTCGATTTTTTGAAACATTTTACTAAATTATTTAATTTACGATTTGAATTTTTGGAATATATCCTTAAAAAATAAATTTAAATACCAACATTGCTTCAAAAATAGTTATTGTCATCAATATCATTAATAAAAATATTTTTAAGAAATGCGATCTAACCAAAAAAATAGGGCATGTGCCAATGGTGTTTTCAGTTTTTCAAAAACAAAAAAACAAGAAAAAAATTTATAAAGATTTTCTTGAAACTGACCCAATCATTATCATTATCATAGTTGGCCAGACAGCCCAATGTGAGCCAATGCCTTCCTCTGAAGATTTCTCCATGACGACTTCCGATTTATCTTTGATCTCCAATTTTTTTCATTAATTGCGAGAAAATCAGACTCCACTGAGTCAGCCCATCTCAACCGCGGCCTTCCCCGCTTTCTTTTTCCAGTGGGTCTAAAAAGCAGTATCTTTTTTATTGTGTTGTCGTCACTCATTCGAATCACGTGGGCGATCCAATTCATTCTATTTATTTTTATGTATTTAATAATATCAGGTTGTTTATAAATCTTGTACAGTTCAAAGTTAAATCTCCTTCTCCAGTTATTGTTTTCATTTACACCACCAAGTGTACCCCGCAAAATCTTTCTCTCAAATATTGCGATACAATTTCCTCCAGTTTTGTCATTGTCCAAGCTTCAGAAGGGTATGTCAAAACTGGCGGACAAGAGTTTTGCAGATTAAGAACTTAGTTTTTCTAGAAAGAAACCTAGATTTAATAAATCTTCTCAGCCCATAGACAGCCCTATTCGCCAGACAGAGTAGGTTTTTTTTATTTCAGGAATAATTCTGTTGTCAATGGTAATAATTGATCCTAAGTAAGGTAAACTGTCCTCACTGTTTCAAATTCATCAGAATTTATTTCAAGATGGGGGTCTGGGACTTTGTTTCTTGAGAACAACTTATATTTTGAAACTGACCCAAATATAGGGGAGAGTCGGGTAGCCCCGCCCAGCGGGTACCCCCACCCATTGTCAATTTCATATGTATAGAATATTTTTTCAAATCAATGGGCCATCGGACATTAATTGTTATATTAAAAAAAGATTATTTTCAAAGTTTCAAGTATTTATGCAGCTGTTAACATGGTAAACAATAGTTTTGAAAATATGTTGAATACAGTAGTCATGAAATTAAGAAAAATTGGTTGAATGTTTCGATTAAACTTCATTTTAATACTAAAAAAATAATTTTTTCTATACATACAGCATTAAAGTATGTAGTCTTAAGTTTAATTTGCACAAAGAAAGAAGTTTATATGTGAAAAATTGTTCGAGTAATTACAAATTTACAAAAAAATTGGATTTCGGGTAGCCCCGCTCACATGAATGTCGGGTATCACCGCCCAATTTTATTTCGTCGATAAATGTACGGTTGCAAAGATTATTATTTTATTGCTTCAAATTTGAATGTTATATGCATTTTTAACAACAAATATTGTTGTTATTAAATGATTGTTATTAAATGATAGAATTCACTAAAAGTATATAAATATGTAATAAATAAAATAATTTTGTGATAAAAATGATAAATGAGGTTTATCTATTGTCAATACATTGGTCATTTTCATTTACACCTGAAAAAACAGTCAAAAAACATAATTTTTGTAACTGGGCGGGGCTACCCGACACATTTTGAAAAGAGCTGAAAAACATGTTTTTTTAAATTTCTATTTTTTTAAGTTTAACTATTCTTTTTTTGGTTTATTCTTTTTGCATTATTTAATTAGATGATAAAACAATAGAAACATACAAAAATGTTGATTGTTACTCAGTATTATACAGAAATATAAGCAATACTCCTTAAGTGAGCGGGGCTACCCGACTCTCCCCTATATATATTTTATTTTTTGAAATAAAAAAAAAATTATTCTGAAAATGGTTTAATTTTTTTTTTCTAAATTAATCAGGACCCTGTCATTTCCATGAAAACCGAAAACAAATTGAAAAGCTTGCAGTAAAGATTTTTTTCCCCTTTTTTCATTGTTAGGAAAACTTTTAAAAACGATGGAGCTACTAGTTTTACTTCTATATTTGCTAACTCTTAAATTTTTTTCTCTCCAGAAGTTATATTATTTTTCAAATGAATTAATTTCCTTTTTTCTCAAAGGGTCAATTAACTGAATTGAACGATCCATCGAAACTAGAGATCTACTATAATTTCTAAAGAATCTATCGAAACTTATTCAAAAATAACACTAAATAAATTGTGAGTTGCTTATCTTTTTGAAATATTTATGCTTTCGAATGACGAGAAATGAGTTTGACATGAGGCGTCAACAGCCACATGCCTTTCCGCAACATGGGTTTCCTTTCCACTCTGCATGTAGCCATACTATCACAATTTGATTTCTCGTTATCTGTAATTGGAGAGTTCATCCAGAAGATATCAAATCAAAGAAATAAAAAAGAACCCGAAACATTCCAAATGAAGACGCAGAGAAAGTTTTCCCCATACTCGAGCTTCTTCCTGATTGGTTCAACATTTAGCAAGCCGGCACCTGCGAGATTACAATATTCTCAGTTTTAGTTTTGAGTTGAGAAGTAAAAGAAGCTTATTTTTGACATCTCATCCACACGACTTGCACGTGGTTTCGATTGACAGCACAGGGTTGCGTTTTTGACTACATGCTGATTGCGTTTTCTTGTTAGGTAACAGATTTTAATTTAATTTGATTTTACTTTTAAAAGCTATTCTATTTTTTATAAAACTACAGAAATCTTAGCGATATTTAAAAAAATTTTCATAGCACAATCTTTGTTTACCGATGTAAAGAAATAGAATACGAAACAAATGTTTAATTGACAAAGTAGTCAATGAATTATTATTTTGCAAGTGATGTACTTTCTATTAAATTACATGGAACTTTTTTTTTTTATAATTTTGTTAATTATGAGAAAATATTAAAATAGTAAAAATAATGTTCTTACAGCAGAAGTTGCGTCATTAAAGTCATGTAACTAGTAACATGTAACAATTAGTCAAGTTTATTTCCTCATTTACTTACTTTATTTTAATGAATTCTCTGCTCTTTTTAAGACTACTAAAATTAATGCTGAATTGAGTATCTGAACATTCAATAAAAAGACGAAGAAATTGGTAGAATAAAGTAATAAATAAAATAAGTCGTAAATAAAATAAAGTAATAATTAATAATTAAATAAAATAAAATAAAACTAAATAACAAATAAATAAATAAATTCCATATTAACAGCAAGTTTTTTTTTCAAAACGTGAACAAAGTTTGATATTGAATGAATCGATAAGTAATTTTAAAATTGATAGTTTTAAAAAGAAATCTAAAATATCAATTAAATAAAACAATAAATGATGTTTATTTACTTTGTTGGAGTCAGAATTGGGAGATACATTGAACCAGTTTATTTTCTGAAAGGTACTTTAGTCCACAAGTATAGCAATAATAATAAAATAAATTTTCTTTGAAAATTTATTTGAAATGATTACTCGACAAAAGTTTACTTTTAATGATAAAATGTATAATGTTTACTTGATAATACAGTTGACTACAATACAATAAATGTTTAAAATAATTATACAATCAATGACACATAACAAATTTTTTATAAGGAATGTTAAAATTTTTTATTAAATTATATAAATGTTCTTTACAAATGCTTTACTTTACTGCATAACGTAACTTCGTGCTTAAACGTATAATGTTTGAAAATAAAAATGAAAAAGTTTTAAAATACTATATAAATTTAAATTATAGTATACTGCTAAAAATAAAAAAATAACATATTTTCAAACTTAATCTACTAATGATATCTGTTTTGTTTGTTTCAATCTTATTTTTTCAATTTTAAATTTCTTTTTTAATGTGTGCAAAGGAGCTTTTGAAACTTGTAAAGTGTTCTTTTTGTTATTACTATGTGCAAAAATTAAGTTATGCATGACCTAATTTTGCTGCATATGGCTTGATATGTCTTTTGTATATAGCTACCGTAAATCAAATAGTATAGTATGAAGTATAGTACAAATAGCATAGGACCTCACGTACATATACTTTGGCTCTAATGTACCTCCTCAGAAAAATACTTCGCACAAGATACTTATACAGCCGCACAATTGAAAAAACAACGTATCTGCTTCACGATAGATATTGAGAAAAGTGTGCTTGACCACTATTTTGTTTTCATTGTTAATGCTATGAACGCTAGAATAGAATTTCAGAAAACTAATTAAAAAAATTTTATGCAATATATAGTTTATCTTACAAAGATACCAAATTTATAAAACTCTTGATTTTGAATTTTTTGTCGTTTACGTTGATTTTTCTACTACAGAGGAGCATAATAGAAACAGGAGAGACGAAACATTCATTGAGTATGAAATTATGAATTTTTTATTTAATTAAATTTTTTAACAAGTTTTGAACTATTCATCGGATTTGAAGCTCATTGTAGTGAAACAATTGATAACTAATGTAATGTATATTGGGGATACTTTTGATTTTTTGAGCATTTATTGTAACTCTAAACGAAAATTACAAAAATTAAACTATTTACTTTTTAGCAAATTGAATTAAAATTGTTTGCTTGGTCTGATTTTTCATCGAATTTCTAAAATTAATTTGGATCTTGACGAAAATAAATTAGATAATATATTATATTTTTAAAAAAAGTATAGTCAAAATTACCCAGAATATGGTAAAATTTACAGTGTTTTTGGCTCTATGGGAACACGGTAATTTTCGGTAATTTTTTCCAAAGCACTTTGGTAATGATTTTGGTAAAATTAACTATAAAATATGGTTTTATAGGAGCAATAATTTTGAAAACTGAATTCTGGTAAAAAAATTATCAAATGGTTTAAATTATTTGCTTACAAATAAGGTATTTTAATATTTGTTTCTATAAGATATTTAAATATTTTCTTATAATTAAGATATTTTCAGACTCAATTAAAAGTGTTGCTTATTGTTGCTGTTGTAAAAATTAAACATTTCGTCTATTAGGTTTAAATATAAACCAGTAAATAAATTTACTAATAATAAAGCAAAAGTTAATTAAAGTATAAAAGTTATTTCAATAGCTTGACGCTTTCAGAGTAAGCGTAAGATATAGGCTATTTATTTTTATTTCGTCACTTATGTTTTCAGTATCTAAAAATTTATTATCCAAACATTGGGTTTGTTATTGATACGTCAACTTAGTTGATTATTTGAAAGTATAGAAATAAAATTGACAAATTTTGTTTCTAACTCTAATTTGAATAAAATATTTACTGTTTTAACTTAAAGATTCTTTTTTTAAAAAAAAACTATATATGTATTTTTTTCATTACAAAAGAACTTCTAAAAATAAGAAGAAAAAAAGCAAATGGTTAACTGATTTTGTTTTGTTTTCTATTACCTGCTCAGCGGGATAAAAAGAAAAGAAAATAGATGCAACATGGATTAAAATATATTCTTAAATATCCTATGCCCAGTTGCAGAGAACTCTGCACTGATTTGCGACATCAAAGAAAAATTTTAAAATTTATCTGTTAAAATATTTGTATTCAAATGTTGCACTTTATAGGTCCTTTAGATTGTCTAAATACATGATGAATTACTAATAGATACCATACTAAAAGGAATTGCTTTAAATTACTAAATTGAAACGTTATTATTTAGAAATTTATTAATTGAAACGAAAAGTTCTTTATCAGTAAAATGAAAAGGAAAAATATTCTTGATTTAAATTATTTTAGTCTTTTTGGAATAAATAACTTATTAAAATAAAAAAAATTAAAAAAAATTATTTAAGAAAAAATCTGAACTAAACACTGGGTGAATTAAATTAAGAGTGTAAGTAAATAAAATTTAAAACATTTTGAGACTTTAGAAATTAAAAATTCTACCTGAAATAATTTTGCATTTCAAAATATGTTTCCAAAACAAAATCATCGTATGTAGGTGAAGCCGACGATATTTTCGGAAATAGTGTCTAAGTTCATCCCTCTCTTACAAATTTTTGGTCAAAAGACCAGCTGTGTTAAAGCTAGCTCTTCAGGAGAAAAAAAAAACATAAATAATAATAATCATAAAAATTAAGCAGGATTAATGTTAGATCGATTTTTTTCGTTTAAATTAATTTTTTCTGCGTTTCGTTTCCTTAAAATTTAGTTCACTTTTGTTCGCAGGACCAAATTAAATCAGTTCTGCTTCTGAGATCTTAAGTAGCCAGTGGAAAATTTTTTCCAACTGTGAATCCAAGCCATGAGTATAAGTTTCCAAATATTTTAAAGAAAATTCATTAATTAAAATAACTATTTCGATACCCATTATCAATTGGAATTAAAATTATAAATAATGATAGTAAGAAATAAAATAATTAAAAGTGCCTCGTGCGTCTTCGCGAAAATTAGCGGAAAGCATTGCATACAGTGTAGAATTTTTATANTAGATTTATTAAATACACCTTGTGCACCACCTAGGAACCAAATCTAGAACCCGACACTCGAAATTTTTGCTCTGTTACAATCGTACCCTGTTACAATTGACCCCACTCTCCCCTACTGATCTGCGACATCAAAGAAAAATTTTAAAATTTATTTGCAGAGCGTGTGTTAAAATATTTGTATTCAAATGTTGCACTTTATATTTCCGTTAGTTTTAGAAGTCTAGATTGTCTAAATACATGATAAACATTTGATGCATTACTAATAGCCACCATACTAAAAGAAATTGTTTTAAATTACTTAATTGAAACGTTATTATTTTGAAATTTATTAACTAAAAAGAAAAGTTCTCTAACAGTAAAATTAAAAGAAAAAATATTCTTGATTTAAATTATTTTAGTCTTAATGGAATAAATAACTTATTAAAATAAAAAAAAATTTAAAAAAATTAATTTAAAAAAAACTGAACTAAGCACCGGGTAAATTGAATTAAGAATGTAAGTAAATAAAATTTAAAACATTTTGAGACTTAAGAAATTAAAAATTCTACCTGAAATAATTTTGCATTTCAAAATATGTTTCCATAACAAAATCACCGAATGTAGAAATTAATTTTTAAAAAACTGAACTAAGCACCGGGTAAATTAAATTAAGAATGTAAGTAAATAAAATTTAAAACATTTTGAGACTTAAGAAATTAAAAATTCTACCTGAAATAATTTTGCATTTCAAAATATGTTTCCATAACAAAATCATCGAATGTAGGCAAAGCCAACGATATTTTCGGAAATTGCGTCAAAGTTCATCCCTCTCTTACAAATTTTTAGTAAAAAGACCCGTAGTGTTAACGCTAACTCTTCAGGAGAAAAAAAAAAAAACAGAAATAATAATAATCATAAAAATTAAACAGAATTAATGTTAGATCGATTTTTTTCGTTTAAATAAATTTTTTCTGCATTTCTTTTCCTTAAGATTTAGTTCACTTTAGTTCGCAAGACCAAATTAAATCAGTTCTGCTTCAGAGACATTAAGTAGCCAATTCCAACTGTGAATCCAAGCCATGAGTATAAGTTTCTAAATATTTTAAAGAAAATTCATTAATTAAAATAACTATTTCGATACCCATTATCAACTGGAATTAAAATTATAAATAATGATAGTAAGAAATAAAATAATTAAAAGTGCCTCGTGCGTCTTCGCGAAAATTAGCGGAAAGCATTGCATACAGTGTAGAATTTTTATAAGA